TAATTCTCCGTGGTGTTACTGGATCGAACTGTTTAACCTCGATTGGCATGTGGGCTCCTACGCTGATACCTGGATATTATCTAAATATTAATTATGATGATTAACTTGATTTTGGCTGATGGAGGAATCTAGGACGAGCGCCTAATCCTATTAGGGATAAGGCATCCACATAGAAGCCCATATACGAATTGAGGTCGAACACTACCCGTTGTACAAGAGGTGGCTATCATGCCTCCATGGTATGGTGAATAACGCCTTGGCATTTGAAGCGGTGAGTACGAGGTTCGAGTCTTAGTGGGAAAAACATCATTCACAGGGGCGGAGGCACAGTCAGTTGACGAGTCTTAAATGGGACGAAATGCGCGTCATGGATTCCTCTGCTAGTCATAATCAATTAAAGTGTATTAATATGTTTGTTGTGAACACATCAATTATGGATAAGGAACTAACTTATAAGTAAGAAGTGTAGGCTAACAGTAAGATACATCTGGTTTCTGTTACTTTGTGAATTGTTCCTAAATTGCTTTTTTTTCATTGAGCCAATATTCCTCTTACAGTTGATCAATAACTTTCTGACTTATTCCACCTTGTAACACCACGTAATTAATCATTTGTTCTAGGTGATAAAATTGATTTTTTGGGATAGAATATAATTTTCTTAAAATAGTTGAATTGGTCACTGGATTATTGAATTTACTCACTATTCTGGTTATTTCAAAAGTAAATATTACCTTGCCAAACAAAATATTAATCTCTGCAGTATAATGAATAAAGTTGATAGATAACTAAACTAAGAGACTGAAATATATTTTAACTTCACTAACAGGTTTTCTGTTCTATGTGGAAATGTTTTAAGTACTTAGATGTGATTATGAAGGTATTAGGAAGGAAATATCGGTGATTGTTGATAACATGTTACAGACTAGGTTGAAATAGTTCAGGTATGTTCAAGATTTAAAACATTTTATTACGCTTTATATGCTGATCTACCCTTCTATATTTGAACTTTCTGTTCATCGTAATACTTTCGTTTTTAAGAATTCTCCTTCTCTATGATAGTATGAATCGCGGAGCAACTTGAAGCCATCCTCAACTGTAATCATTTCTAGATTATAGTCTCTTTGTGATGGAAATTTTAAATGTTTAAGTTAACAGGAAAATATTCATAAAAGATTTGTGTTAGACTATGCTGTACTGTTAGTTTTTGTATAAAAATTGTAAAATTAATTTTATTATTATTATTTGTCCCTCGAGGTCCTAGTGGAACATCGAGCTTCAGTAGCACGTCACTATTTCATTCTCTTCTCTGCAGTCTATTCAACCTGGCTCCTCGACTGTTCCGAAGCTTTAACTCCTTCCTCAAATGATTTCCTCCATGTCACCATTGCACGTACATCTCATCGTTTCCCCTTTAGATTCCACTCGACGGCCTGATGCGTGATCTCTTCGAATGGTCTTCTCAGTGTACGCCCAATACAATCCATCTCCACTTTCTTATGCATAACTCCTTGACGATGGATTCTTGGTTGGTTCGTTGCCAGCCAGCCAGCCAGCCAGATTCCCTTCTTCCCTATTCTTATTATTCTAGCGACTCATCTGATCTTCAGCGTCAGTATCGAGTGAGCGTCGGTGACAGCTGTTCATGTGATGTATGTCTACAGTTTGTTGGAAATGCTTTTCGTAACGCCACAAGTCTCTCAACCATCACATAGATGCACTGACTTACTTCACACTAGTGTTGAAAATCCGGATCTTGTTCACACCTTATACTGAGTGCAGTGCAGTGCAGCGCAGTAGATCTCCACACTGATTATTTCAGATTGATGAAAACCTGTCTTAGTGTCTTCGCGATCCTGGCTTCGACGTCCTCATGTGTGCCACCTGTAGTTGAAACGATGCTGCCTAACCAGGTATGTGAAAGAGACAACTCCCTTTACATTTCTCCTGTTGACGCTGATTGGTGCTTGTTCTTGATGTTGTTGTTAGTTGAGCATCTTCATCACCTCTGTCTTCCATACCTACACCTGAAGTCACATCTTCCTTCGCTGCCCTGCCTCTTCTGTTAACCTGTTGGTTTTCGCCTATAGATGTTCGGGTTTGTGCAACATTTAACCTAAACCATCATCGGCGAAATCCAAATCTTCTACGATCTTCTCATAGGTCCCACAAACGTATGTCTATCTTCTCACTCCTCACGGTTCGCTGCATGATCCAGTCCAGTGCAGTCGACCACAATCAGGAATATCATCGGTGATAGTAGACAGCCTTGTCTTACTCCTTCCTGTCTTCACTTCAAAGGCATCACTGAGCTTTTCATTGTGGATCACTTCGCATGTAGCATCATGTGGCATGTAGCTGTTAAATGAGATTGATACAGGTTTGTGGCACTGAAACTTTAGTGTTGAAGCAGCTGCCTGTCAAATTACTTCTTCGTCGTCACCGTTGAAGGCCTTTTCAAAGTCGATGAAGTTGAGGTAGCGTGGTGAGTGCCATTCTATACTCTATTCTGTGATGAAACGTATCGTAGGGTTGCAATTTGATCTGCATATGATTTGTATTCTGTGAAGCCAGTCAGCCAGCCAGCCAGGCGACCAGCCTCTTCTGGTCGTAATTTTGAATGCAGAGCATTTTTAAGTCTATCGCGGATGATGCGGTGATATTCTGCTTGGTGTGGACGGCAGCATGATTCCACAAAAGTTCTTGCAAAGACTTATGTCTCCTTTCTTTAGGTGTTTGACAAGGTGGCCCTTCTTGAATCAGCCGACAGGTACTTTTCCTTATGTTTCTTCCAAACCTTCTGTAATAGTGGTGTGCGCGTTTCCGGTGTTGTCTGTTTCTGTTTTCAGTGCTTTTGTCGGAATTCTATCTGGTCCTCCTTCTTTTCCTGATTCCAGCAACTTTATGGCGTTCAGGACTTCATTTCGGCTGTTGTCGGAGGGCTTGTGTTCCCTGGTAATTCTGTGGCTGGGCTGCTGGTGGTATTTCTAGACGAGTTTCAGGTGATGGTCGATTCAAGAGCTATTTTGAAGTGGTCACCCCATTGGATCTTTTGTTTCTCCTCTCTCTTTGGCGTTAGCTGAGTTTCCTTCACTAACATCATTGGATATATGTGCGTTGTTCTCTTCCCAGATAGTATTTTGGTTATTTGATATAATGTTGTCAGGCCACTCCTATCTGCAGCCTGTTCTGCTTCACTTACTAGTGTGTTGTCGAAGTGTCTTTTGTCTTTGTCTTCAGTTCTTTGTCCAACGCAGTGTTTTATAAGTTGTGTTCAGTTCCTCTTTTAGTTATGCATCCTTGCACTGGTTCATCTTCTGTTTCACTGTCTTCCTCTATCTCCTCTATCAGCTTCCGTATATCTGTCGAGATCCATTCCTTGTCTTGTTTCTTCTTCCTTCCTAATGAGGTTATGCAGGCTTCCTTCCACATCTCCTTCATAGACCACCAGTTCAATTGAATTTTGAGGGAGTTGATTAGTGCAATATTAGGTACATAATGTAGATTGCATTGAATACTCTGTAGTGAAATTCTATCAAATGATTTCTCACAACTCTCCAATTTGCATTACAAAAATGGGTATTCTCTGGTAACTTTCTTCGAGATGGACTTCCAAGAGTTCTAGTAAGAAGTTGTTACTCATGAGATTAATCAATTGAAATGGGGCTAGCAATGTTCACCCGATGAGTGTGAACGGTGAGTGCATTGTGTTACGCATTGATAGAAGTTATAAAACGTGAGTCATTGAGTTTCAACTTGATGACTGAGTAGCAACGTGCTCATCATAATATTTGATGGTACTAGTTTTCATCTCTCAGATGTTCGTGAATAGTTGTTGTTGAGAAATCTCATAGTTGTCCATGGCTTAAACTTTGTAACAGTTCATTTTCTCTGCATATGTCATGTGGTTTGTGAAAATACTCCCATGATAACTCGACATTACAGCAAAAATAAACTGCACTACTCTGATTTTTTTGTATTTATATCAGTATTAGTGTTTCGTTATCTATCATGTTATACACAGATATTGTCTCTAAAAACAATAATGGTATATATCATTGTAATTTTCTTAACTAAATTAATACGAATATCCTATAGATCATTGTTTACTTCAATACTCCATGCTACTTTGTTGGTCTATATGCCTGCAGTTTTCTGGTTGATTCATCAAGAATTCAATATTCAGATAAAATCCAGAATTCACTTTATTGTTGCTTTGCAGATAGACTGTAATTTGTTAATTTATAAGTAAAATCCTCAAATTTTTTTTCGTTCGTGAAATATTTTACTTGAAATTGCCAAGAATTAAATAACTACTTTGGACTACTGGAGTCAGAAAATGATTCAGTATTTTCTCGTCTAATTATAGACGGTTAGATGGCGGATTGGTAAAAATTGTCCGGTTAATCCACTTAACAAGCAGCTGACCAGCTAGTCAACTGGGTGACTAGCAGTGGAACCGAGGATATGCTTTTTGTCATATTTGGGACCTGTCAGCTGGATGTACTTGCACTCCAGTGAATGATGTTGTCCCACTGAGACTGAAACCTGTTGGGAGCATTTTAAGCAATGGGTACTGTGTTCCGGTCCTGGTTAGAAAAACATCACCATCTGGAGTGCAGGTATATCCAAATAGGATGAAAAGCTCGTCTTAGATTCCACTGCTAGTCACCAAGATTAATATAACATCATGAATATCCACCAGTATTGAGGCATCCGTATAGGAGTCCATCTGCCAACAGAGGTCGAGTACTTCAACTGTGTATAGTAACAAGAAATTCAAAGTACCAGACAACAACAGCTCATCAGCTAGTTAATAAGATAAAAAAGTGAAATGCATTAAAAGTGTTTACATGACTGATGTTCAACAAGATAACGGATGTGTGATGCTTCGGAAGGATTGAATGAATGTAGTTGATTTGCAATCAATAAAATATAAGTAGAGATTAGTGAGATGAAAGATAATGATATGCTCGTTGGTTTTAATCCATCTTTTATTTTAGATTAATTCAATGAAAATGGCGAAATATGGATACAATGATGTTGCGAAAAATGGTAAGTAAAACTGATTGATAAGCATTGAATTTTTTGATAGTGGAAGTTTCTACCATTCTTAGATCCATAATAAACCCTTTCCTCTGAAAACTATAGTTTAATAAAGATATAACTGTATAGTAAGATTCAAATTTGATTTTAAACTTAATTTAGTGAGTAAGTGAAGAATTCGATTTTGAAAGGCCTTCAACAGCGTCAACCGAGAAGTAATTTAGCAGCTGCTTCAACACCATGGAATACCACAAACCTTCATCAATCTCATTCAGCAACTATATGAAGACGCCACATGCCAAGTAAATCACAATGGGAAGCTCAGTGATGCTTCAAAGTGAAGACAGGAGTAATACAAGGCTGTCTCCTATCACCTATGATATTCCTGATTGTGACTGGACTGGATCATGCAGCGAACCGTAGGAGTGAGAAGATGTGCATACGCTGGCTGGACCAATGAGAAGACCCTAGAAGAGTTGGGTTTCTCCTATGATGATTTATGTCTAATAGTTGCACAAACTCGAAGATCTATAGGCAAAAAATAACAAGTTGACAGAAGAGGCAGGGCAGAGAAGACGGGACCTCAAGTGAACGTAGAGAAGACGGAGGTGATGAAGATACCCAACCAACACCACCACCACCACCACCAACAACAACAACAAGCTCCAGTCACCATCAACGGGAGAAACTTAAAGGAAGTAGCCTCTTTCACCTATCTAGGAAACACTGTTTCAAGTACAGGTGGGCACAGATGATGACGTCAAAGCAGCCAGGATCGGGGAAGCAAGATAGGCTTTCATTAATCTGAAACCAGTGTGGAGATCTTCTGCACCCAGCATAAAGAGCGAGATTTGGATTTTTAACACCAATGTCAGGTGAGTGCTGTTGTATGGTTGAGAGACTTGGCGCGTTATGGAATGGATTTTCAACAACTACAGACATTTATCAACAGCTGCCTACGCTGGCTCAATACTGAAGATGAAATGGCCAGAAAGAATCAGCAACAAGAAACTCTAGCTGGCTGGCTGGCAACGAACCAACCAAGAACCTATCACTTAAGAAATATGCATAAGAGAGTGGAGATGCATTGGATTGGGCATACACTGAGAAGACCGATTGGGGACATCACGTGCCAGGCCAGTCGTTCGAGTGTAATTCAAGGGGGAAACGACCAGTTGGGAATCCAGGGTGACAGTGACATGTAGGAGATGGTGTGAGGAAGAAATGAGAGCTTCTGAGCAGTTTTGGAGCCAGGTTCAAAAGATTGCAAAGAAGAGAGTGGAATGGAGGCGTGCTACTGAAGCCGTATGTTCCAATAGGAACCCAACGGACAAATAATAAATAATAATAAAAAGAATTCAATCACTGAGGTGGAATTTTGACGTTGGACACAGTGATAAAGTGCTATTTACTAGACAAAATTTTAAGCACAATTCATTGCTCATAATCTTTTAAAGGTACTCAATCACATAACTTTATGGTCTACTTTCTAAAGTTCTGTTGTTTTTTATCCTTCGGTTTAATAAATAGTAAAATCCCTCACATCCTGAATCGATGCTGCATTATTTCGAATACATGTGTTAGGTGATGGACCGATGAACATGGATTTAGTGATTAACCTCTCATTCCACAAAACTAGATTACTCTTTGTGATTCCAACTTTATCCTACTCTAGCTATGTGTACTATCGCATTTATAGCTAATGTTGGATTATTTTCTTATAACTCCAGTTAGAAGATGAACAAAAGGAATTAAATACGTTATATTGTAAAATAGAACGTAGAAAAGACGGTGGTTTAGACATAGGTGTCTATGGAAAACCATTGCTTACTAATAGATATCTAGACTTTAGGTCATCTCGCCCTACATCAGTAAAGGCAGGTTTAGCCAAATGATTAAGTAATCCGGTTAGGAGTCCAAAAAATTAGGCAAAGAAATGAAAGAAGCTTTACTTCCTTATAACTATCCTCCTAAGTTTAATCAGAAAAAACATATGGATGCATGAAGAAAAAGGGGAAACGGTGATCTCAACAGTGATTGTAACATAAATAAGAAGGAATACAAGATCTGAACAGCATTGCTATATAAGGAAAGGACACCAGAAATTGCAAATACGTTTCTCAACAAAACTTGGATAAAGGTGGTATTCATAACTACAAACTTAGTGAGAGACAAACTTTGTTGGCTTAAGGATTATACTGGTCTAATTAGATAGAACAATTTAATGTACGAACTTCCTTGGAATGACTGTGATGCCTAGTATACAGGTTATACTAGCCGGACAATGTCAGTCAGGTGAACAGAATACATAAATCTAGACAATTCTATATTGAAAGACACTACTAAGGTGAGTAATCTAGGGTAGAAATCAACCAAAGCTTTGCATACGATAACACACAACCCCATAGTGGGGTGGTATAAAGTTACAGTCGTGAAGTTCAATGTAGTTAAATGGAAAACGTGGCTGGTCACCAAATCTTAGTTCATTGGTTTAACACTTAATTCATGTGGTCGAAATGACGTAGAATCAGTTCTGGATGTGTGAGAGATTTAACTACTTATTAAATCAAAGAATAGGGGAACTATAGAAACTAGATCAGGAAGTGTTTGGACTAATTACCTTGATATGATGGAATAACTTTACTAAGAGTGGGTGTTTTAATTGTGAAAAATCCACTTTGACTGGAAATTCTACTTGAACATAAAACTACCAGTTTATTTGATTGTTTTATTGATGAACTGTCTGACAGCTACTCAAGTCAGTTAGTGAATATCAACATGTGAGTTCTAAGTTGTAACACTTGACATCAGCACATTGAGGTGCATAGTATGATGTAATATAGTTACAAGATTTGAGTGTATTTTGACAATGAAAAATTAGACTGCTTAAGATAGAGGGATAAGTTATATAGAGAGAAAATGTAAACACTTTAACAAAATAGGAAATCTTTACACAGGTTGAGTTCATTATAAGTCAAATGAGTGATTTTTATTCAGTTCATCACTCACATCTTGGTTAGTAAAATAATCCTTGACAATCATTATTTAATACTGCTATTATCTTGGATAGTTTTTACTAATTATGTATTTTATTTAGCCTATGGGTTACCAGCCTGTTGCTCTACCAACTGAACTACGGTACTCAGCTTCTAGTCAGGTTTTATCGTTTCAATCTAAATTAGGTTGAATTAGAGAGGAGAAGCATTGTATTAACAGTTAATGAGGCTTTGAAATAATGGAGAAGATTTGTAGCTTAGGTGCGGATGGTCTTAGTTGTATTGTGTTCTCTGAGCTGGGTTGTTTAAACGTGAAGCTTCATCGTCTTTCTGGATGACATCATCAGCATTGTTGTCGTCCAGAAAGATGATGAAAGCTTCACGATTAAGCAACCCAGCTCAGAGAATACAATACAACCAAGTTAACGAGACCGTTTAAGATAGCTCTAGTTTAACAGACTGGCAATCATCAATTTTTTCACTTTATATTAGTATGCTAATAACTCTGATCACGCGTATTCACTACTGAAACACTAGGTTCCATCCTTTCCTGAGGGTTAACGTCATTAAATATAAGTGTAAGTATCAATAAACTTTAAAACCTAGAGCGATTTCTGAAGTCTGCTTAATGTATGAATTATTAAACAGTAACACGTGATTAAAAAAAACTAAGAAATGTGAAATTTTGAAATATTTATCAGCATGAATGTTTCAAAAGTCGAAAGAAAGATACTATTAAATTCACTGAGTTGTCATGCTCTGTTACCTGTACACCATGGTGCTAGCTGCCAATAAGGTTGGTAGGATGAATACAGTCAAACATAGTTAAGATATAATTTCAAACTGGAAAATAATTCGGTAATTTGGTTAATTGTGGCTAGCAGAGGAATCCAGAACACGCGTTTTATAACATCAGCTGGATATACTTACGCCCCAGCGAAAGGTGTTGTCCCCACTGAGACTCGAATCTCGTACACATCACTTAAAACGTTAAGGCACTATCCATCATACCACAAAGGAACGGCAGTCACTTCTTGTACACAACGGATGGTAGTTATTACTATTTATTGACACACTTGTGATTTGCCATTGTTCCTCCACGGCAGGAGTCCTGGGACCAAGGTTTTGAGCTTTTTTTCACTTAGAAGTAAGATATGTCTGTAAACTCGAAGGAAGTGATTTCCCGTGTAGGACTCGAACCCATGTCACACAGTGTTGCAGTCAGCAACATTAACACTGAGCTATTCATGTTGCCATTAACTTTATATAGGGCTAGATTATGTAAGTTGATTGGCCACTGGAGGGCAATCAACTTCACGTTATCTAGTCGCAAGTGGTGACCGAATTCTACTGACCATTTTACAATGTGACTAACAAACTAAGAACTTCACCATCGGCATGAACTTTGATGGGTATTGGTTGGTTGGATACAATTTACAGAAAGCCCAGTAGACAATCAATGTATTTAAGTATACGACTCGAGAGAAACCTAGGAGTTTTTTCAAGAAATTACTTAACACAGATGATTAGTAAAATTGTGTACGCGTTTGTTCGATAAACAGAAAATAGAGAGTTTCAGTTTATGAATTACTGCCATGAAAAGTCAGTGTTCTGAATTCTAACTATAGATTATTTGCAAAAATGCTGCAGGTTTTTTGGTGCATAATATATCATTTCAGTCATAAACATGCGTATCGTATCACAACTCATACACTTGTGCGTATATACCGCTCTAATATCTCAGTACTAGTATCTCTGAGTACATTATTGATTCATTTGAGTTCATATCTGTTCATGAAGATGAATTACTTTTCGGTTTCACGTACTTGTTTTTAAGAAGCGCCAACAAATGTATAACCTTAGTCAAAGGCTTTTTTCTGTCATCCTGAACAATCTAATATGTCGGCATGTATGAAAATAATATCACTTGAGATATCGGTGAAATCTACACAGTGACAAATAGCTGTTACATCATGTTGTGATGTGGTACATCAGCACCATTTCATTACCTAC